CTTGGTCACCTCAAGGCCACGGTCACCTCAGGGCCACGGTCACCTCAGCATTGGCCAGTTACCTCATGGCCACGGTCACCTCAGCGCCCTTGGTCACCTCATGGCTGCAGTCACCTCAGCATTGACCAGTTATCTCATGGCCACGGGCACCTTAGGGCCACGATCACCTCAGAGCCCTTGGTTTCCTCACAGCCCTTGGCACCTCAAGGCCACAGTCACCTCAGGGCCCTTGGTCACCTCAGGGCCACAGTCACCTCAGCATTGGCCAGGTACTTCATGGCCATGGTCACCTCAGGGCCATGATCACCTCAGAGACCTTGGTTTCCTCACAGCCCTTGGTCACCTCAAGGCCACGGTCACCTCAGGGCCACGGTCACCTCAGCACCTCTCTGTGGGAGGGAAGAAAATCTTGGGGGGGAGATTGGGATATTAACCAAAAAAAACAGAAAACCTGTTTTCAGTTTCAGGGCAGCCTGGAAGCAGAGAGACCTGACGCGTCACCTTCCCTCCGCCGGCGCCTCAGTGTCCCTTCCCCGCCCTCGTATCCCCCATTTTGTCAGGAATCGCCTCTCATTGCCTATGCAGCAAGCAGTAGACGACAGCTCCAGCCTCAAACGGGGCTTCCGCCGCGGAGTTAAAACTTAACGCTGTTGAAAAAAGCAGTTTTGTCTTCAAAATGTGGCAGACGCCCTGCAGCGCAGCGTGGCCGCGCCACGGCTCGAGGGTCAGCTGCCGGGCCGAGCCCTGATCCCGCTCATGACTTGAGTAGGAGAAACAGGTGCTTTGGAGGAAGATGAAGTTGAGCCAAATCCCCAGGCGTTGCAAAAGTCCGGGGTTTCCAGCTCAAGGTGGCCTGGAAGGCGGTGCGTTAAATGACAACAACTGGGGGGAATCGCCCGAGTTTTGGGTTGCCAATGGAAAAATCAATATAAAAACAAGCGTATACTCACCAATTAAATGAATTGCGCCCAAGAGGGTGCTGCCCTGGCTGGGATGAGGAGCTGGCTTAGCACCGTGCCTGCCCCAGCCCCGGGGCCGAGCCCCACGCGCGGCCGGACGCCTAAAAAACGCCGCGTGGGGCTCACGGGCTTGCAGGGCAGCGCCTGCCGTCGTGAATCCAGGCCTTGCTTTTTTCCTTAAAAATACAAGAAAAAAGAAAAAAAAAATCACAACCCAACAGTAAGTGTTATGGTGATTAAAAGGTGGTTTGAACACATGTTTCAATTTGCATTAATTAAACCAAGGGGGAAGCTTCGGAGGAGGAAACGAGGCTTTCTGAGCCGCGGCAAATTCGGCGTCAGGCTCTGGCTGGCGACCCCTG